ATGGCTCAGCGGTCTAAAGCACCTACTTGGAACAAGCTTAGCAAAGCACAGGGACCGCGGTTCAATCCCCCAGCACCACATGCCTGCCAGCCCCGGCCCCTGGTGGGCTGAGCTGGCCACACACACACACACAAATTTTGAGAGAGAGAGAGAGAGAGAGAGAGAGAGAGAGAGAGAGAGAGAGAGAAAGAGAAATGTCCTTTAACAGGAAATAAGGAACCTTCAAAAACCAAAACAAAACAAACTATAAATCACCAAGAACAAAACCCAGTATTAGAAAAACAGAGCAATGCTCTCAAACTGAGGAAAAAAGTATTTTGAATCCAAAACTTAATAACCAAACTATTAAGTATGCTTTTCATACATACAACGTTTTAAAATTCTCATACATTCCTTTTCAATGCAAAATCAAAGTAAATTAAGCAAGATGAGATTCAATTAACAGCATTAGCTGGTTGTGCCCACCAGTAAACCCAACACTTGAGGACATGAGGAAGATTTCAAATTCAGGCCCACACTTAGCTACTTAACTTAGCAAGGTCCTATCCCAAAATTTAGAAAAACTGGAGATGTAGCTCAGTCAGTCCAAAGGACCTGAATTCAATCCCCAACACTGAAGAAGGAAAAAGAGATGGAAAGTAAGCGAGTGCCAGCCAGTCTAACACAGAAAAGATAACAGGCTATCCCTGGAACACTGATGTGTAGCAAAGAAAACAGTCCCCAAATACAAAGTCTAGGGGGCCGGGGAGTTGGCTCAGTAGGAGCTTGACTGGCAAACGCAAGGATCTGAGTTCAATCCCCAGTTCTGGGAAAAAAAAAAAAATCCCAAATACAAAGTCTATTTATTTATTTACTTGTTTATGTATTTATTTTTGGTACCAAAAATCAAATTTAGGGGCCGGGGAGATGGCTCAGTAGAATAAGCGCTTACCTGGCAAGTGCAGTGGCCTGAATTCAATCCCCAGTTCCACCAAAAAAACAATCAAAAAAAACCCAAAACTAAACAGCCATCATTGGGCCGGGGAGATGGCTCAGTGGAATAAGTGCTTCCCTGGCAAGTGCAAGGGCCTGAGTTCAATCCCCAGTTCCACCAAAAAAACAATCAAAAAAAACCCAAAACTAAACAGCCATCATTGGGCCGGGGAGATGGCTCAGTGGAATAAGTGCTTCCCTGGCAAGTGCAAGGTCCTGAGTTCAATCCCCGGTTCCGCCAAAAAAAATAAAAAATAAAAAATAAAAATAAATAAACAGCCATCATATTTTGAGGCTGGGGAGATAGCTCAGTAACTTAAGCATCTTCCCGGCAAGCGCAAGGTCCCGAGTTCGATCTCCAGTACCAAAATAAAGAAACAAATATATAAGCAAACAAACAAATAAATGAAAGAAACAGCCATTCATTTAAAAAAAAAAAAAATCAAATTTAGAGCCTTGCTCTTGCCAGGCAGGTGCTGTGCAGCTGAGCTACAACCCCAGCCTGCAAAATGTGGGTTTTTTTTGTTTGTTTGTTTTTTGGGTTTTTTTTAAGTGGCCAGGGCCAGGGAGATAGCTCAGCCACATATGCCTGCCTGGCAAACACAAAGTCATGAGTTAGATCTCTGGTACCAAAAAACCCCACACATATTTTTTTTAAAAAAAGTGGTCAGGCATGATTGCACAAGCCTGTAACCCCAGCACTCCCTGAGGCAGCAGCAGGAGAAGGATTACTACAAATTCGAAGTCAGCCTGGGGTTACATAATGAGTTCTAGGCCAGTATGGAGACCCCTGCTTGTCTCAAAGGCTAGTTGCCGTTAATACAGGGCTACAATCCCAGTATCTCAGAAAGCTGAGGCAGGAAGACCCCTTGAGCCCAGAAGACAGGAAATCAGCCTGGGCATCACAGTGAAAAACTCATCTCCAAGTAAATAATCTCTTAAATTGAACTTGAAGGCATTATGTGACCTGTTTGAGCACATGTCAAAATATGAACTGCTAAGTCTGAAAGAAGAAGTCATAGGACATCATCAGTAAAAAAGCAATCACTAACTCAAATGAAAATACACAAAGATAATTCAAATGAAAAAACATTTATCACTTTAGTATAATCAAACAGTACCAGCAGAATGAGGAGGAAAACAAATCCTATAAAGTTGTTGAGGTGTGGAGTGGAAATCACCTAAATGGAAGGAGCACAGAAAATGAGAGCTAGGCATGTTTTTCAGACCAGTGAAGTAGTGATGCAGGCAATACAACAAACGAAGGCTAAGCAGCCTCTGAGGAGTGGGAGTTAGGTACAGGCTGAAAGCCAACTGCAGAAGAAAACTGAATACAAACATCTGGAATCCAAAATTATAAAGAGGGCGGGCCAAACAGCTCTGCAGAATAAAGCACCTGCAAGCAGGTGCAGGGGCCGAGGCTGTAAAGAGGAGTATCACTATGAGTCCGATCTCGTAGTGAGACCCCTGAACACCCTGTAGACCCTTCCCTAAAATACAAAAAGGAAAAAAATTATAAAGAATATTTTTGAGGGGCTGGGGAGACAGCTCAGTAGAATAAGCGCTTGCCTGGCAAGCACATGGACCTGAGTTTAATCCCCAGTTTCGCAAAAAAAAAAAAAAAAAAATTTTTGAAAGGGACAAAAGTAAATGCTAGAAAAAAGGAAAACAGAATGGAAGACAGGAGATTCTCAAGGCACGGACACACTCCAAAATTCAGGTGTCCTAGAAAGCACGACCAGTGCATGGCTGCCTATCTCTGCCAACCTGGGAAAGTACTAATCTCTATTTGTCACAGCTGCAGCCTCTGCCCCCCACGCCAACTCCCCAAGAATTCAAAGCATCTTGTCATTCACCCAGAACTAACTACAAGAATTCGCTCTACGTGTCTTCATATGCCACTGAAAATCACCAAGCTGTTAAATGATTTCATGTTATTCGAAAAAAACTTCTGCTTAAAATAACTGCGTTTAAGCGTCACACGTGGCTATTATAACCAATCCCAAAGATTTTTGCCTCTACGCACTTAATTCAGTGGAAGACATATGAGGTTGAAAGAACTCTTGTTTCTCCATTAAGAATCTTATGCCCTGGCAAGCGCAAGCACCTGAGTTCAATCCCCGGTTCAGGAAAAAAAAAAATCTTATAAAAACTCTAAACCTGCTCTAAAAATACAAAAGTTGTATCAATTTCAGAAGTTAAGCGGGCCGGGGAGATGGCTCAGTAGAATAAGTGCTCGCCTGGCAAGCACAAGGCCCTGAGTACAATTCCCGGTTCCGCAAAAAAAAAAAAAAAAAGTTAAAGAAAGCCCCAGAGGGGTCCTGCTTTAGACCGTCACCACGTCCACACTTAGGCCCGGGCCCGCAGTCTGAAATCCCCGTCTGTGAGCAGCCACTCACCGCTCCAGCACCGGCCCACCGGCCCGCCCACCGGCCCGCCCGCCGCCGCCCGCCGCCGAGAAACGCAGTCTGGCCACGGTCACAACCTTGCTGAGTGCCCACCTGACCTGGGACGAGTATTTTTATCCTACAGGCTCAACAGCCACAGGGTTCTGGGTCCCCAAAACAAAACCACCACCTCGTGGCAGGTACAGTAAAAAGACCCCACGGGGCTGTCAGTCCACGGATTTCTTTAGGTCGTCCGCCACACACGGCGCGCGCGGCGCCCCTCCCGCCCGCCCGGGACCACCAGGCACCGCCCCGGC